GCTGGGAGGGGGAAACTATCGCGAATTTTTCGCGGTGGTTTTCTTCTTCCAGCCGCGCCCGCGGCCGCGGCTGCGGCTCTGGCTGTGGCTGCGGCCGCGGCTGGGAGGGGGAAACTATCGCGAATTTTTCGCGGTGGTTTTTCTCTTCCAGCCGCGGCCGCGGCTGCGGCTGCGGCTGCGGCTGCGGCTGCGGCCGCGGCTGGGAGGGGGAAATTATCGCGCATTTTTCGCGATAGTTTTCTTCTTCCAGCCGCGGCCGCGGCCGCGGCCGCGGCTCTGGCTGTGGCTGCGGCCGCGGCTGGGAGGGGGAAACTATCGCGAATTTTTCGCGGTGGTTTTCTTCTTCCAGCCGCGGCCGCGGCCGCGGCCGCGGCTGCGGCTGCGGCTGCGGCTGGGAGGGGAAAATTATCGCGAATTTTTCGCGGGGGTTTTCTTTTTCAAGCCGCGGCCGTGGCCGCGGCTGCGGCCCCCCCCCTGCGGCTGCCGGCCGGGGGCGGCAGAGGGGAACTATCGCGATTTTCGCGGTGGTTTTTCTTTTCCCGCCGCGGCCGCGCCGCGGCTGCGGCCTGGCTGCGGCTGCGGCCGCGGCTGGGAGGGAAAACTATCGCGAATTTTTCGCGGTGGTTTTCTTCTCCAGCCGCGGCCGCGGCCGCGGCCGCGGCTGCGGCTGCGGCTGCAGCTGGGAGGGGGAAATATCGCGAATTTTTCGCGGTGGTTTTCTTCTCCAGCCGCCGCCGCGGCCGCGGCTGCGGCTCTGGCTGTGGCGTCGGCCGCGGCTGGGAGGGGGAATTTATCGCGATTTTTTCGCGGTGGTTTTCCTCCAGCCGCGGCCGCGGCCGCGGCTGCGGCTCTGGCTGTGGCTGCGGCCGCGGTTGGGAGGGGGAAACTATCGCGATTTTTTCGCGGTGGTTTTCTTCTTCCAGCCGCGGCCGCGCCGCGGCTGCGGCTCCGTCCTGCTGCTGCGCTCTGGCTGTGCGCTGTGGCTGCGGCCCGCGGCCCGCGGCTTGTGAGGAGAAACTATCGCGAATTTTTCGCGGTGGTTTTGTTCCTCCCAGCGCGGCCGCTGGCTGCGGCTGCGGCTGCCGGCTGCGGCCGCGGGGCTGGGAGGGGGAACTATCGCGATTTTTCGCGGTGGTTTTCTTCTTTCCAGCCGCGGCCGCGGCCGCGTATGCGTCTCGGCTGTTGCTGTGGCCGCGCGGAGGGGGGAAATTATCGCGAATTTTTGCGCGGTGGTTTTCCTCTTCCAGGCGCGGCCGCGGCTGCGGCTGCGGCTGCGGCCGCGGCTGGGAGGGGAAATTATCGCGAATTTTTCGCGGTGGTTTTCTTCTTCCAGCCACGGCCGCGGCCGCGGCTGCGGCTCTGGCTGTGGCTGCGGCCGCGGCTGGGAGGGGGAAACTATCGCGAATTTTTCGCGGTGGTTTTTCTTTTCCAGCCGCGGCCGCGGCCGCGGCTGCGGCTACGGCTGCGGCCGCGGCTGGGAGGGGGAAACTATCGCGATTTTTTCGCGGTGTTTTTTTCTTCCAGCCGCGGCTGGGAGGGGGAAAGTATTGCGATTTTTTCGCGGTGGTTTTCTTCTTCCAGCCGCGGCCGCGGCTGCGGCTGCGGCTGCGGCTGGGAGGGGGGAACTATCGTGAATTGTTCGCGCTGGTTTTCTTCTTCCAGCCGCGGCCGCGGCCGCGGCTGCGGCTCTGGCTGTGGCGTCGGCCGCGGCTGGGAGGGGGAACTAATCGGCGATTTTTTCGCGGGGGTTTTTCCTTTTTCCAGCCGCGGCCGCGGCCGCGGCTGCGCTCTGGCTGTGGCTGCGGCCGCGGCTGGGTGGCGGAATTATCGCGGATGTTTCTCGGTGGTTTTCCTCATCCCAGCCGCGGCCCGGCGCGTTGGCTGCGTCTCTGGCATGTGGGCTGCGGCTGGGAGGGGAAAACTAATCGGAATTTTTGGCGGGGTGTTTTCTTCCACGCGGCCGCGGCCGCGGCTGCGGCTCCGGCCCGGCCCCGCTGCTGGGGGCGGGGGGGCAGCGGGAGAGAGCAGAAGGGCAAGGCAAGCAGAGGAGGGGTCGGCCAGCAGGGAGCAGAAAAGAGCAGCAGCGGCGAGGGAGCGGGAGGGGCGACGACGACGACGACGGAGGCGCGAGGGGCCGGCGGGGGGGCACCGGGAGAGCGCAGCAGGGCAAGGCAAGCAGAGGGGGACAGGCCAGCAGGGAGCGGCGAGGGAGCGGGAGCAGCGGCGAGGGCAGCAGCGGGGAGGGCAAGCAAGCAAAGGGCAGCGGGAGGGCAGCGGCGAGGGCAGCGGCGGGGAGCGCAGCAGGGCAAGGCAAGCAGAGGGCAGCAGCGGCGAGGGGGCGGGAGGGGCGACGACGACGACGACGACGACGACGACGACGACGACGACGACGACGACGACGACGACGACGACGACGACGACGACGACGACGACGATGACGAGACGACGACGACGACGACGACGACGACGACGACGACGACGACGACGACGACGACGACGACGACGACGACGACGACGACGACGACGACGACGACGACGACGACGACGACGACGACGACGAGGGGGGGGGCCGCCGCCGCCGCGCAGCCTCCACAGGCGCTCCTCCTTCTCTTCCTTTAGGCTCAAGGAGCCTTGAGCTTCTAGCGCGGCCCTGGGGTCTGCAGTCGTTCCGCAGGGAGCGGCGGCGGGCTCTGGGGCCTACCTTCGGGGCTAACCCGAGGGAGATCTGCTGTCTCACAGGAGATGGCGGGGCACCTGGTGAAAGCCCAGGACCTGCTGCTGCCTCCGGGTGGCGGTGGGGGAGCTGGTGCAAGCCTAGCATAGTCGTGCGTCCCTGCGCGGAGTGCGGCGCGTCCGGTGCAAACCCGAGACGACCCTCTGCTGCTTCCTCCGGGAGGCGGTGGAGGAGTTGGAGAAAGCCCAGCAGAGCTGTGGCTCCCTCCGGGGACTGCGGCGTGCCCGGTGAGAACCCGGGAACCTCTCTCTTCAAGACCTGGGCTCTACTGCCCGGGCCGCCCTTCGGGGTGTGCCTCAGAGCAATCTGAGGAAACGCTGGAGCCCGCAGAAGCTTTCGAGCACGCTGTGGGGGAAGGCTCGGCCGCGTACGCGGTTGTGCTCTCGAGTGATCGAGAGAAATGCTGGGTTGATGCCAGCTCTCCCTCCGCGGGTGCGATGCGCGGACACCCCCGGGTTAACCACGCCGGGGTTCATCGACACTTCACGGCAGTCGCTCGGGAGTCTCCACTCTCCGAGAGAGATAGTAGTGAAGGGCACCTCGATCCTACCGAGGCTAAACACAGGACCTATGCAGCGGGCGCTCGGGAGTCTCCTCTCCCTTGGCAGCTAGCTGTTGTGGAAGCCCCAGCTCCGGCTGGGCGCCTGGCCGCGCCGCGCTGTGCGGCCGGGGGAAGTCCCGCGAAAGCGGGCCCTGGTTCCCCTCCAGGTGGGCCTCGTGCCAAGGGGACCCGGTGGTTCATCACATCGGGTTACACTGAAGGACACGAAGGTTTGGAGAGAATGTCTGTATGTGCGGAAGCGTGGTGTGGCGGTGCCGCGGCGGGTGCGGTGGGCGGACGCGACTGCGGTCTGCGCTGGGAGGACGAAACGCCCGCGAATTTTTCGCGGGCGTTTTCGGCGCCAGCGCGGGCTGTGCGGCGCGGGGAGGAGGCCTTTGGGTCAGTGCGCTGGGAGGGGGAAACTATCGCGAATTTTTCGCGACGGTTTTCTGCTTCGGCGTGTGGCCTGTTGGGCCGAGCGGGCGTCTCGGGAATGGCGCCCTCGGAGGGGGAAACGCTCGCGGATTTTTCCCGAGGGTCTTCTGCTCCGGGGGCCGCTCGGTGCGGATGTGTCTTTTCGGAGGCAGCGCGCTGGGAGGGGGGAACTATCGCGAATTTTCCGCGAGAGTTTCTCGATTCTGCGCGTGCGGCGGGCGCGGTGGGCGGACGCGACTGCGGTCCGCGTTCGGAGCAGGAAACGCTCGCGAAATTTTCGCGGCCGTCTTCGGCTCTGGCGCGGGCTGTGCGCTGCGGAGAGGAGGCTACAGGGCGCTGGGAGGGAGAGTTTCTTTCGGACTTTTCGCGGGAGGTTCCGGCTGCGTCGCGGGCTTCGGCTCCGGTCTTGCCAGGCGGGATCGCGCGGGCCTCGGATTCCGTCGCTTTGCCCGTCCCAGCGCGGCTCGCTGATCATTCGCCGTGGGAAAGCAGTGATGGCCGTGATTTTATAGAGGATTTCGACGCGGGGGAACTTGATGCTTTTGCCGCCAGCGATTGTGACGACGACGACGAGAATGACGATGACGACGATTGGTTTGGAGCTGACGACGTCGTCTGGTCAGCCCCGGTCCCGGCGTCCTCTTTGGCAGTGGCGTTGGCCTCGGCTTCTGTCGCGGCCGTGGTCTCGGTCCGGGCTCCGTCTGTGCGGGGCGCGGAGCGCGCCCCGCAGCTGGGGGGATCTGTGGAGTGGGAGGACCGGCTGCGTGAGAGCTTGCGCGCAGAGCACGACGTGATCAGGGAGGAAGCCGTGGATGATGCCGCCTGGGAGGCAGCGCAGCGCGAGCAGAAAGCGCATCGCAATGCGTGCCGCGCGTCGCTTCGGAGGTCGCGCTGTGCGCGGCGGGAGGCGGAGTGGGCGCGGCGGACGGAGGCGGCGGCGGCGCGTAACGAAGAGATGGCGGTCCGTGTCCCGCTTCCAGTCGTGCCGCGCCTTCTTCCGCGCGATGAGTCGCCGCGTGCGCGCGATGAGTCGCCGCGGCGTGCCCGGGTGTCTCGCGCGGCGCTGGGGGGGCGGAGAAGCGCGCGACTGCAGCAGTTTCTGAATGCCCGAGCGGCGCGGGCTGTCGATTCGGTGCCCACCCCGCGCGTGGCGCTGTCGTCTCTGGAAGCGCGGGTGTCTGCGCTGTCAGTCGGGGAGGTTGCGCTGATTGCAGTTTCAGTTTTTGCTGCGCTGGGTCTGTTCCCGCCAAGGCCACAAGTTCTTTCGGGTGCCGCGCTGTGACGCGCGCGATGGCGCGCGCGCGGATGTGGAAAGAGAGAGAGAGCTTCTGGCGCGACGTGGACGCTCCGTCCGATGCGGCGCCGTCTGCTGCGAAGGTTCGGGTCGCCAAGTGGTTTTACTGTGGCCTGCGTGGGCTCTCCGCGCGGAGGTGCGGGGGGCGGCGCGTGTGCGCGCGCAGGTTCTCCCCCGGCATTGGCATCCGCGCTGCCAAGGCCAGGGCGGGCCGGGGCGCGGACGAGTGCGTGGGGGCGCTGCCTGGAGGGCGTCGCAGAGGGCGGGGCAGTGCGTTGGCGATGCGGCTTTGCGCGTGGCCTGTGTCTTCGCCGCGCTGGGCGGTGTGTCCTGCGCTGTGTGTTCCCGCGTGGGACGACTCGGTGCTGCTGGGGGGTTTGGCGCGTCCCGTGCGTGGAGGCGGCGCCTTCGACGTGGCGTCGCGTCGGGGCGACTCGGAGTTGTTGATGCGGGAGATCGCCTGGGGCCGTGGCGGAATAAGTGTCTGCATTTGAGTGTCGCTCGGTGCGGGGGTGCTGGCGCGCGCGCGCAGGCGGAGGGCTTCTTCGAGTTGCAGTGCGCTAATGATTCCGGAGCTGGGGCGTGCGGTGACGCGGCGGAGAAGGCGAACTTTGCTCTCGTGCAGGATTGGCTGGAGTCGCGCCGTTCGAGGATGCGAGTCTATGAGGCGGAGAGTGCAGATGGTTTACTGCGTGGGGAGTGTTCCGGCGCGTGGTTTTTGGGTTCCGCGGGGGGGGCCGAGATCGGCAGCGTTGTGTGGTACCCAGAGGGCCATGTCGCGACGGTCGTTGATGTGGACGGTCGCTTGGCCGCTGGCGTATCTCTCGGAGCCACAGGCGCCGCGCCGTGGCTGCGGTCGATTGCAGGCGCGCCGAAGAGGAGTGCGCCGAAAAAGAAGGCAGCCGCGAAAAGCAAGCGAGGTGCGCATCTCCGCGGTGCGCAGAACCCGAACGTCATGGCGGGCGTTGCTGCGCGGGAGCGACGCGCGACCGGTGAGGATGGGGCGCCGTCGTCGTCTGGCGAGGACATGCCAGTCATCCCGGGAGTCACCGTCGACGATGCCGATTCGGGCGATGCCGCGGGGGCGTCCGTGCTTCGTCGACCTGCAGCTGCGGTCGCCACGCGCGGCCGTGCGTCTGGGGACGAGAGCGATTCGGGTGAGGACATGCCGATGCTTCCAGGGGTTACGGTGGAAGAGGATGACGCGGGGGCTGCTCGGGCGCGATCGGACGCCGTCGCACCGCAGGCATCGGCTGCGAGGCGCGCTCTTCGGGGCGCGGCTTCGGCCGCGGCGCCGCCGAGCGATTCTTATGGCGAGGAGATGCCTGTCCTTCCTGGAGTGACCGTGGACGTCGGGGGTGCTGACGATGGTGCAAGCGATGGCAGCGGGCCGGCCGCGCGTCCGCGCGGTGCCCGGAGAGCGCGCCGGAAGCGCGGGGCCGCGGACGGGGCGCTTGCGTCCGAGGCAGAGTCCCGGCAGTTCCAGCCGGATTACGTGGACGAGGACCGCTGCAAAGGGCTGGCGTGGGGGGGGGCTGGGGGCGAGAGCAGTGCCGGTTTCGGCCGAAGACGGGGGGCGACGTGTGCGGGAAGTGCGCTCGATATGGGTGCCCGCACGGGCGCGTCAGGGGCCCCATTCCTGCATGCGCGTTGGATAAGTTCAAGGAGTTTGCGCTCAAGGCAAACAAGCCATCTAAGCAGTGGTACGCGCGGCACGCGATGTGGGACGTGGCGTCGAAGATGAAGCCTGAGCTGAAGTCCTTGTGTGATGTGGACGAGCACAAGCCATTTGTGTTAACGAACAGTGAGTACGAGCAGTGCCTCAAGCAAGTCCATGACAATCTCCGAACTAATAAGAACCATGGCCGTTCTGGCTTCGTATACGAGAAGGGGGCAGGGGTGCGGACACTGCAGGATCGCTGCGGGGAGGGAACTACTCGGTTCGGATCGGAGAGGGAGTCCTACAATGGGCAGCAGGGGGGGAAGGTTTTCATGTGGTACAGCAGGGCGGTCTTCAACAAGTACCTGGGGCAGCTGCAAGCTTCCGAAATGGATTGTAGCGAGAAGGACTGCGTGGAGGCGTTGCGGTTGACCAGCGAGGAGATCCCGCGGTACCCAATGAAGCAGCAGTATCTGAAGCCGTACGCAGGCCCGCAGTGCTATCCGCACATTGATCCGCGTTCGAAGGAGAACAGGCTGCACGCGAACGAGAAAATGGGGCATGCGCCCGGAGAGGATCCGCAGGGGGGCGGCGACGGCGGCGCTAGGCCCGAGGCGTGCGGGGGAGCCGACGACGGGGCGTCGCACTTGTTCTGTATGCGGAATTGGGCGCAGTGCGATCGGTGCCACTGCTGGCGCCTGCTTCTGCCTGCCTGCGCTGCGCGCGCGCGAGGGGATGAGTACTACAGGGTTCGCGACGCCGACTTGGATTGGGAGGGGTGGTTGAGGGGGGCGGCGCATCGGTGTGCGGCGGCGGCTGGTGCGTCGAGAGACCAGGACGCTGCGCTCGGTGGGCGGGGCGGCGACGCCGTGGAGGGTGCGATGCAGCAGGGCGGCGCCGCGGACGAGGGCGGGGGTGGGGGGGGGGGTGCGCGGCGGCGCTCGGAAGCGGCGCCTGGGGCGGAAGACGTCCGAGGCGGAGGCTGCCGAGCCCGCCGCGGTGCGCGGCGGGGCGCGCAAGCGGCGGCTGGGGCGCAAGACGTCCGAGGCAGAGGCTGCTGGGGGCGACGCGGGGCGCGAGGCCGCGGGGGCCGGGCGCGCGGGGGAGGGCGCCGCGGAGGTGGCGGCGGCGCGGAAGCGGCGGCTGGGGCGCAAGACGTCCGAGGCAGAGGCTGCTGAGAGCGTTGCGGGGCGCAGGGGCGCGGAGGAGGGGCGAGCTGGCGAGGGGGGCGCGGAGGTGCCGGAGGCGCGCCGGGGGCGCCGGAGACTCGAGCGCAAGACGTCCGCCGAAGAATGGGCCGAAGCGGGCGGTGCGGTCCGCGGAGCCGTGGAGGAGGAGGGCGGTGGTGACGAGGCTTGCGGCGGCATGGCGGAGTTATCGGCTTCGGATTGCGACGACGAGCGTTCTGCGTCAGATCATGAGTGCGCCTCGGAAGAAGACGCGGCGCCGCTGCCGCGCGAGGTGCGCAGCGCGCTCGATGCGGAGCTGGCGCGTTTCGCGGGTGCTGGGCCGCCGACGGAGGCAGACCTGGCGGGGGCGCGAGCGGCCGAGGAAGGGCGCGGGAGCGCGCCGCGCCGCGCGGGATTGTCGCGAACCCGAGGTGGGGATGCGCGGGCGTGGGCAGTTGCAACCTTGTCCCACCTCAAGGACAAGCGGATGGTGGCATTGGTCGGTGCCGTCCGCGAGTACCTGGTGTTGTGCCGTCAGTGCGACCGGGGTAGTTTTCGGATCCAGGGGTCGGACGGCGATTAGTTGTGGGTTGCGCTGATGGAGCCGGGGCGGCCAGGACAGTTCGGGCGCGTGCTGCTGGAGCTGGAGGATCGCGCGCGCGGTCGTGGGCCGAGCGCGGAGCGTTCGTCTTGGGAGGCGATAGCCGTGGAGGAGATTTCCGTCGTCGCTCGGAGTGGCCCCGAGTGCGTTTCGAGTGTAGTATGTTGCAGACGCCGGTCGTGTCCGAGAGCGGCGGGACGCAGTGGCGGGCGGTGCGGTGCTGCGATGAGCCGGGCGGGGGCGATGCGGACGATTTCCAGGCTCTGTGCAGCGCGAGTCGCGGGTCGCGGCCGGCTTCGCAGCGAACGTGGTTCGGGATGACGACGTGGTCGTGTTGCCTGTGGAGCGGCCTGCCGGGTGGACGGAGCCCGCGCACATGGCGGGGGCGTGGTGGCGGGGCCAGGGCTCGCGGGAGCGCAGAGCAGAGGAGGGGGAGAATCCCGGGCGCGTCTGGGTGGGCCAGCTGCAGGAGGACGCCGGCGTGGCGGGGCTGCTGCCCGAGGGCGGCGCGGGCGAGCGCACTGCGAAAGAGGGGCTCGACGCGCTGCAGCAGGCCGGTCAGGAAGCGCGGGGGGCGGGTCGCGCGGGTCGTGGCCGGGGGCGCCGGGCGAAGAAGCGCGGTCGGTACGGGAATGTTTTGCGGGCCGTAATTCGGACCAGATGGGCGCCTGGGAGGTCGTCGGAAGGTGCCGGCCCGGGCGTCGCGGAGTCGTTTGTGTTTGGATCAGCGCCAGAATCGGAGCATTGGGAGATTCGTCCGAATTCGCGTTTGCGCGAGCGCTGCGGAGGGCATGTAAACCAGCGAGCGCGTGTTGCTGCAGGGGACGTACACCAGAAGTGCATGCTGCTGGCGCTGAAGACGGTGCCGCTGCGCGTGGCGAAGTATGACGTGCAGCTGCGCGATGCGTCCGTGCTGGCCGTGCAGGCGGCGCAGGCGATCCTGACGCGCATGGTGAAGTTCACGTGCCACGAGTGCCAGGAGCGGTTCCCGGCGTTCCACCCTGCCTTCGAGCCGCAGGACCAGCTGGCGGATGAGATGCTGCTGCTGCGTCGCGGCGGGGACGGGCTGGCTGCGTGCAGCACGGAGGTGGCCGAGTGGGACGAGGTGCCGCCGAGCGACCCGCCGGATGGCTTCGCCCTGGAGTGCGCAGGCGTGTGCATGCGGTGTAGGCGGGATCTGGACAAGCAGGCGTCGGCCGCGCCCACGGAAGACGACCTGTATCAGGTGGTGGGTCTCCGCACCGCGCAGAATCACATGGACCCGTGCTTCCGGTTCCCCTCCGATGACCTGCGCGACCTGTTCGACCAGGCCACGCTCACGGAGAGCCTGCTCATTGCTCTGGACCACGTGCAGGTGCATCTGGCCACCGTGTCTCGGACAGGGCTGCGCAAGTTCCGCAAGAACATCATCTCGTTCCCGCAGGATGTGGCCGGGTTCGCGCGGCGTCACGAGCTAATGAAGGGGTACCGCGTCGGGGATCGCGTGAACTCGGTGCGCGGATTTGGCGAGCGCCCCGACGACCCGCACCGCCCGGAGCGCATTGCCGCGGGGGGCACGGACGAGGAGCGGCAGCGCTTCGGCGTGGACGTGTACGGGCGCCTGGTGTTTCCCGGTCGGGTCGCGGAGGTGCTGCTCAATGGGGAAGTGATCATCGACTACGACCATGGCGGCAGGGGGAGGGAGCTTCAGGAGAACGTGGAGCCGCGGGTGATGCTGCCCTGGCACCCGAGGAAGGTGCACTTCAGTCTGATGCTGCGGCGGAACGTTGGTTTCGGGAAGGAGGTGGTCGAGGGCCTGCACGTGCGCTGGCGCTACTGTGGGCACCTGCTGCGGGCGCTGTGCGCGTTCGCCGGCACGTACGGGCCCTGGCGCCTGGGCGGCACTGCGAATGAGCCCATGCACAAGTACTACGACCCGCGTTTGTTTGATGTGCTGCCGGACGACGACATCATCCGGTGCTATGCGCCGAAGGAGAGCGACGCCGGCGCCGTGCTGTCGGGGGACGAGGCGGGGGAAGCCGAGGGGCCGGGGCCGGTGACTCGGGCGGAGGCCATTGCCAGGGATACTGTTCCGTGTGGCGTCGACGTCGTCACGCCGCGGCAGTTCATTGCCGCGGGTTTCGACGTGCACTTCGTGGGGCCGCGTGATGAGACTCAGCGAGGGGCGAGAGTCCGCGACGGCGACGGCGCACAGCGTGGCGACGAGGGCGGCCAGGACGCCGCGGGCGACGGTGGTGCGATGGAGGCAGATGAGGACCAGTTCGATGTCGGGGACGGAGACGAGGCCATGGCCGTCGATCACGATGTGTTCAGTGCTTGGCTCGAGAAGGCGCAGTTCAGGTACGGCGGGGCTTTGCAGCGATGGTGGGCGGGGCTGCAGCCGGAGGCGGAGGGTCATTTGGAGGGGCTGAAGTTTGGTGATGACGAGACGACGGAGGACCTTTTCGGGCGCTTGCTGGACGCGGCGCGGGGGGAGAGCAAAGTGGTGGCCGTGCAGAGGGATCGGGTGCCCGTGGAGTGCGTGTGCGTCGATTTCCTCGTGCACTGGATTGGGCCGCGGGTCGGGGGGCCGTTCTCTGACCCGGGCGGGGGCGTGACTCCAGAGGCGGTCCTGGACGATGTGATGCTGGAGTTGGCCATGGCTGGCAGGTTCGTGGGAGCTGCTCAGGACAAGGATACGGGGTGCGTGGAGGAGAGTTTGCCGGAGTTTGACGAGGACGAGGAGGTCGCGCGGACGGGGGAGCGGATGATTTACGGGTGGCCTGGCCAGAGTGACGACCCGATCCCGGCGCGTTCCGTCGGTCGCTTCGCGAGGGCGTTCCCGTTGGAGTTCCCGATGGGCATCGGCGACCTTTTCGAGGGCCGTCCTCGCCGGGTCTCCGTGCAGGAGTGGGTGCAGCACCTGATGCGCTACCGCGCCG